AAAACATTTGGCCAAATAGTTTTGCCCGTATTTTACGAGATTGATCCATTGGATGTTCGTGATCAGACAAACGATTTTGGAAAAGCGTTGGGACAAACTGCAAACAAAAGTTATTCAGGAGAACAACTGGAACATGCATTGTCCAGGTGGAACCGTGCCCTAGCCATAGCTTCAGGTATCACTGGCTGGGATCTCAGAAATTTCAGGTAAACAAATGACTCCTTCTTACTTTCTTTCTTTCTTTCGTTTGAGACTGAATGAAGCATAAGTTATAAGGTTTTGATTTAATTTTGGTAACACATTATCATTCCTCTTGAAGGCATGATGCTGAATTTGTGGAGGTAATTGTTAATCGCGTTCAGACATTACTGGACTATAAAGACTTAGTTATTACCCAATTTCCTGTTGGATTAGAGTTTCACGTGGAAAAGGTGATTGGATGCATTGAAAATCATTCCACCAAAGTGTGTATGATAGGGATATGGGAAATGGTAGGATCGGGTAAAACTACCATAGCAAAAGCCATCTATAATCGAATTTATCATTTATTTATTGGCAAGAGTTTTGTTGAAAATCTTAAAAAAGTTTGGGAACCAGTAGATAGATGGCATCTTCATTTGCAAGAGCAATTTCTTTACGATGTCCTAAAATCCAAGTTCAGATTGCAAACCACTTGGATGGGAAGAGTTATGATCGAGAACGAACTTTCTCGAAAAAAGTTGCTCATTGTGCTTGATGATGTGAATGAGATAGGCCAATTACAAAACCTATGTGGGAGTCATCATTGGTTCGGTAAAGGAACTGTTATAATCGTTACAACTAGAGATGTTCACTTGCTGAACCGGCTCAAACTTAATTATGTTTATAGAATGTCTGATATGAAGGAAAATGAGTCCCTTGGTTGTCATGGCTTTAGTGAAGCAAAAACAAGAAAAGACTTGAATGAACTTGTAAGAAACGTAGTTGTTTATTGTGGAGGACTATCACTAGCTCTATAAGGTCCTTGGTTCCTTTTTATGTGGTAGGACAGTGGAATAGAGGGAAGGTTTATCATTGAGTAATAGTTTATAGTTGGGAACTTCAATGATCATTTTATATTGTTTCTCTCCACATAGTCTCAGTACTTGAGTTGTTTATTATATTTCCTTTCTAGTTTTTATTTTTGTGAAATCCTTTTCCCCTTTTACCGTTATTAATATTGTATCAAGGTATAAACACAGTTACTCTTCGGTATTTTGTTCTTAAATGGTATGATTTGTTGCCTATTAGTTTGTGTTTGGTTCAACATATCGTGTGCTATCCTGATATAACACGGCCCATGGCTACTACAAGGCCCACAAGGGAGCACAAGAAACCATGAGAGACTTCGTTTAAGATAGTCCAAATGAATATTTCGTTTCTGTTAACTATACGGCTTTTGAAAGCCCAATATTAAACAAATAGCTTTGTAGTCAAGGGGCACACTTGGCCCAATTACAACCTTATTTAGGGTTGTTATTGTTAGGTTAAAATCATTTCATTGGTCTTCATTTTTGTAGTGAAATTACAAATCAGTCTCTCCATTTTTATTTGTCTCCATTTGATTCCTAATTTTGAAAAATTGATGGAATCAACCATTTCCATTAAATTGGCTAAATAGTGTTAGATAAGTGTTACATAAATAGTGACTAGGCATGTTGTCGTGGAGTTTTACAATGATGTGGCATAATAAAGAAAGTTTGTGATGAAAACACGGTCTACACGCTTTGGTGCGCAACTCAGTTGAACAATGGGGAGCTTCTAGATGCTGCAAAACTCGGTCTGGATGTTGTGAAGCTTAGTCTATACGTTGCATAGCACGATCTACACACTATGGAACTCGGTCTACACTCTATAGAGCTTGGTCTGGATACGGTTGAGTTCGGTGTGCACGCTACGAAGTTCGATCTGCATGCTACGAAGCCAATAATTTTTTTAAGTTATCTTACAAAAGAAGACGTGTTTCGCAGTATGTAGACCGAGCTTCAACATCTCGACCGAGCTCTGTAGAGTACAAATCCAGCTCCATAGTGTGCAGAGCAAGCTCAGTAGCGACTAGATTGTTCTACGCAACATCCAGAATGAGCTTTCCACTATGCAAATCGAGTTCAACACCAAAGAGTACAGATTGTGTTTCCATGTCACAAACTTCTTTATTAAGCCACATCATTTTAAAACTCCACAACAGCATGCCTAGTCACTATTTATTTAACACTATTTAGCCAATTTAACGACAAGGGCCATATTGCATCAATTTTTTCATATTAGGGACCAAATTGAGATAACCAAAAACTAGAAGGATCGATTTGCAATTTTGCTACAAAAATGAAGACTAATAGAATGATTTAACCTTATTGTTATGACGAAGGCAAGAACCTTTTTTCCTAGTTTTTATTTTCTCATCTCTTACGTTTTAGTAATAGTTGTAGTTGTAATCTACATTACCATAAAATATGTTTTTTAAGTCTATTTTATAACAAATTTAGATTCGGAACACTAGTGCAAAATAAGTCTTCCACGTCTCGCGTTCAACATTGGAATACGAAAAAGTCAATGTTAAAAATGACTGGTGACACTTTTGTAAATAGATGTTCAATTTAGAGGTCATAATTTATACTTTTCTGACGTCATATGCTTGTTAGACGACAAAATTCTCAATTTTCGACGTCATATGCT